GACGGTAAGTGTAAATTCTATGAAATAATAAAATGTGGGGCCTCATTAAAAACCCTTGACTTCTACAAGGTACATAAGAAATAATGTTGCAGTGAGAATTGAATATGAAGCTATTGATTAAGTTGAATCGCAAATTATTATTCACCACCGGTCTTTAATTTGTCCAAGGAAAGGGAAAAAGAACGAATAACCCATCAATATGCAATGCAATGTAAAGCAAAAGAGAATCTAAGGTTCGGGAGTTGGTTATACCTAGGGAAGGTACTGACATCCTAAGTATCTGTAGTACTCTACAGGAACCTCTTGTTTTATTGTGTTATTGTTGTTTGCTAAGGGTTACCTAGGGGTTTATTTTTAAGTATGCTTTCCAAGAAGTCCCATCTTGTGCCTACATATCCTGACGGGAATGGAATCAAAGTATTTGTAGTTCCTCTAAAGGGATGAGTGTCGCGGTGAAATTTGGATACCAAACTATTGATTAGTTTGAATCTTTAATTCATTTTACAACCGAACTTTGATTTGTCCAAAGGAAGGGATAAAGATCGAAATTCCCACAATGCAATGCAAATGCAAGGTTAGAGAGTTATAGGTTCGGGGGTTGGTTAAACTTAGAGAAGGTACTAGCATCCTAAGTTTCTGTAGTACTCTACAGAAACCTCTTATTTTATGTTTGTTTATTGCTAAGAGTTTTCTGCTTAAAGTTAAAGAGACCTAGGGGTTTATTTCTAAGTATACTCGATAAGATGTCGCATCTTATGCCTACATATCCTTACGGGAGTGGAATCAGAGTACTTGTAGTTCTCCTAAAGGGTTTGAGGAGTTATTTGACTGTTGCTATGGAATCTGATGGGTATATTCCTTGATTGGTTTACTAATTTTGATTTGTGTTTTGGCAGGTGTGGATAATGATTTGTCTTGGGCCAGGAAACATATTAGAGGCCTAGAGGGGAGAAGCTCGGGCTTGATGATTCCTTCTGTAATGCATGTGACTTGTGATGCTGCTACTATACGTGTTGTTGCCCTTAACACGCATGTTGTTGCTGTGTTAATTTATTCCTTGCAATGCGTATCTTCTTCTCATCCTTGTGTACTAGTGTGTATTTTAAAAATCATGTGTATGTTTCAAACTGCCATATGTACTGATGCTTATAATGATCCTTCGTATGAACGAACTTTGAACGTGAGAACGAAATATATACTGTATGTGAATGCCCCTCCTTCTCTGTGTTGGTGTTCTGATTTGTATCCTTGTTCTTGTGCGTGTACAGGTGGTGCTCAACCAAATTGATAGAGTACAAAGGGGAGAGCATGTTGAAACGGAGACAGACAGGTTGTTGAGGTATTACGTCGGTTGGTAGCTTCTTTGATGATTTATGTTCCATCCACACTGAAACCAGCAGACCTCCCCATAGAGAAATGTTGAGTTTGCACCGATGGCATAACATTGTCATGAGGTTGTGCTTTCTGGTGCATATCCATGTTAATCTGCACTTAAACACTTTTGAATCCTGGTAATGTAAGGAAATCTTCATTTTGAATGCTAAATTCAAGGTTTTATTGAGTAGATACTTATAACTTCAGGCATAAAGAAAGTTATGTTAAATGGCAATAATACACCAGGTAAGATACCCTGAGCCTCTTCACTCTTCACGGTTTAACTATTGGAGTCTTGAAGTGATTCGCCTTAAGTTCTGGTATTCATCCTTTTACTTTTAGATTAGCAGGTTATTGCATTGTTCTTTTGATTATAGGACCATTTAGTTAAGCAAGGGGAACGAGTCATCAATGGAGGCTCCCGTCTTGGCGTGTCTGTCCGTAGGACCAATGAAGTTGTTGCCAATGTTGTGGGCACATTTGATGATGCCATTTTGATTGTGCAGGTTATAGGTTGGTAGGAAATGCCTTCGGGAAAACGAGCGGGGCCTTATTCCAATGTGTACGTGGGAACTGTCAAGAGAAGTAGGAGCAAGGGCTTTACAGAAGCATATCTCAAAATCAAATTTGTTGCGGTGACTGGAAGCAATGGTATCTTTGGATAACCGGATCGTTGGAACCTCATAAGAAAAACACTCCGTTACAACATGTTGATTCCAGGCTCTTCTCACTAAAAACTGTAACTGCAGGTACCACAAGATATATAACTGCACAATTATATTATACTCTAAATTCTTAAAGGATGGTAGTAGATACTCTCATCAGTGCTCCTTTTTCTTGCAGCGGTTATGTGATGATGGTGGTCATAAATTTACGGTTGTGGTTCGAGCAGTTCCTCCCCTGAATGCTGCTGCTATGGAGAGTTCTGATGCAATAGACACTGTGGGTGTTTATTTGGAAAGCACGAGTGGTAGCTTCACAACCAGTTAAGGGACAATTGAATTTACGATCAAATCTGCCGAGATTTCGCGAGGCTCCACCAATAGCATCAATCATGTGTATAACACCTGTTAAGATAGCGTGTTTTAATGGCAGCAACTTTTAAATTTGGTTTCCTGTCGGAAAGTGTAAACTGGGTAACAGAGTGGTGTTCATTGATTCCAGGTGTTGGGATTTCTTTAGGAGTTCCAAATAGATTCTTTGGCTCAAACAGTTGCCTTCCTGGGAAATTTTCTCGTCAAACAGTGAGGCTAAACTCGTGATGCGCAAGCTGAAACAGGATCATCACTCTGTTGAAGGAATTGTGGGCCCTTCCATAATACACCTGAATTGCTAGGTGACTCGCTTATCTATCACGGTTTGATTGATTAACGTTCTCATGTGTTATTTGTACTTCTCTGCGCTTCTTAGCTATTCTTTTATTATGTAAATGTTTCTAGAAAATGCAGTGCTCTTAACAGCTCCAAGTCTCCAATACGGACGACATTTTGTAAGCTCGAAGTAAGGCCCTGGCGCTTTCTCCATTCCTTTCTGCATAAATATGGTTCAGGTGTTTCTCTCAACAACAAACATACTGTGATAGCCTACTGGTTACATTGAAAGGGAAATCTCGAGCTGCGACCGGAGTTTTTGAGCAGCCTGCAAGGGAGACTCTTTCGTTTCTGTGAACTCCAATTGAATCGTCCGATTTTTCCGAGGTAGAAGAAATAACAGCAAACTGTTGGTTTGAATGTACTTCCAATTGGAGCCTTTGACCTCCTTATTCTTTCCGTCAACTTCTGTTCTAATGCAAATGTAATACGAACAATTCTACAAGCTTCTTTAATAATTCTGGTTGTTCAAAAAACGAGCTTAGTCTTGATATTGTAACCTTCACGTAATTATAAAGTGCTTTACTCCTTTACAATCCAGTGTATGCTTTTATAATCGGCTGCTGCTTGATGTGAATGGAATTGAATATTTTGATGCTCACCAAGTCATGCCAAAAAACCAAACGGTTAAACCAATATGAATTACTTAAAGAACGGTAACTGTTTATGATGGAGGATCACAAATAGGGCAGTTTAAGTGACCTTCTATGCGAATAATTATAACCAAGTTTGAACTTCAAAGCTTGCTCCTATAGCCACTTTATCAATTTGAATCCCAACCTTTTATTTTAACATGAGCTCGCATCATGGGCCAATCATGAAATTGGCTCTCGTGAGGTTTCAAATTGCGCGGCCTATGCCTCCATTTCCAAAACATGTGACAACCCAATAATAAGAATTAACCAATGGATGGAAAGTGATGAGCTCTCCCATGGTAGAATGAAATCCACATCAATCTAGACTGCTTTTGATCATCGTAAGCATAATTCTGAATCAGAGTCAAATAGCCACGTTGTAATTGTCATCTCCATCTTACCACACCTGCGCGAGCTGGTTAACCAATAGTAACCATACATAACAGCATAACGGTAACGTGCAAAAGGATAACAAAGAAAAATACACGAAGAAGTGGAATCTTATGGTCAAAAATTAGGGTGTGACAATGAGGAATCTTGATTATGGTCAAGGTTCTAGGGGGAAGGTTTGTTGATTGATTCTATGAGAAGAGACAAGTCGTCATCTTAAGGAGAATACTCTACTCAAACCACTATAAGCATGCGGAAGACGATCTTTGTATCGTATTGAGAGAAGGGCTCCAACTCAGATTTAATCGACGAGTATGCCACATACCTCTTTCAAGCGGAAAAGATTCTACATCTTTCTCGATAATGTTATGGGGTAAAAAAATTATATCTCGACTACATAGATAAATCATATCTAATTCTCCTGTGGGAGAATGTGATTTAATCTATAAGTTGTATAAGTTGAAAGCTTAAGGGGATATATCCTAAGATATAAGGAGGATAATCTAAGTTGATCGACCTGAAAGGAAATCAGGGATCGAGCGGTATACAAATAAATAATGCAGTGCGTATGACTTATAAAGCCACACACAAGTTCTTCCCTTGGACATGAACATGCAAATATAAAGATTTAAAGACTATAAATAGTTATAAAGTAAAAATAGGCAATCAATAATATGTGGTTAAGCAAAAATTGATCATGAAGTTGAGATCGAAAAAGGGAACCTCTATCATAATGTTATCATGACATAGTTTATTCTAACGTTCAAATCTGATTCAACTTATCGAAAATAAAGTTGAATCAATAGCCTAAGGAAACATGTAAATTAGAATAATCAAAAGCGCATATTGCAACTGTATAAGAAGATCAACACATAAATAATCACAATTATTATTAATTAAATTTTTTTTAAGTTAACTAGAGATTTAATTAATCAACTAGCGATTAAGAACTTCAATTAATCAATTAAAACCTAGTTAATCAAAATTAATAATTTAATTTCCATCCAATAATTAAATATTAAATAAATATAAAAAACTATATTACAAAATAACAAAAAGAAGTGAAGTTAAATATTTTGTTTTTTAAGAAAATATGTTTATGGGCTCAAGAACAAAACCAACCCTCATATAAAAAAAGAAAAAGAAAAAAAAGCGTGGACACACAAAAAACGAATTGGGCCCAGCACCAAGGCCCACCCCACGTTTCCCATATGAAAAAAAAAAGAAACAAATGATGGAAGAACCCATAAGGTTCCTCTCATCCTTCACGGTGCGTCTCTTCTTTTTTCCTCACTCTCTTCTTCTTCAAACACACGACGCAACACTCAGAAGAGAAAGCTCTGCCACAGTTTTCGCACAACCTCCGTATGACTTGTATGTGTTTTTAAATTTGCTCTGCTGAGTTTTTTTTGTGTGTTATGATGTGTTATCCTTTCTGCCCAATCGTGATTTCTCCCCGCTTTCCTTTGTGTGAAATTTCTCCTTTTAGAACCAACATTCCTACTCTGAATATGACTCCTTGATTAAATGGTCATTGAAATTGCTATTCAACCTTTCCATCTTTGGTTGAACATGTCTAGATGCTGTTATGGAAAGAAATCGTAGAATGTCTTATTGTCTGTGATAACTTTCCATTTCAATTTAGGCATGCTATGTGTGGTTTTGGAAATTTATCAGACAAATCAAATACATTTGGACTTATGTTTAGTCGTGTCGGTAATCGTCTAAAAGTTTTCTCCTGTTATGCTTGGAAATATTTTGGAAAGGATAAACATGTCTGCTAACAATTGAATGGTGTGTCTGGTCCTGTTTTGGAAAGACTTAAGACTTCCCATTTAATTTCTTGTTTAATCATGCTTTGAAATTCTGATGACGGTTTCACCGAAAATCTTTTGTATGCTGACTGCCAGGTATGATGACAGAGGCGACATTGTTTTCTTGGATGGATTAGTTTGTATCTCGCCCTGTAAGTTGTATTATGTTCATGTGGAAAAGCCACTGGCGTTTCAAATGAATGTATCTCACTACTGTAAGTTGTATTATGCAGGAGTACGACTTTGTTGTGGTGGGACCAAGCATTGGTGCTAGTCTTGATATTAACACTGTAACGACTGGACAAATATTTTGATTTGGTCTTGGCTTTGTAGAGACGGGTTTACGAAGCGCGACATGGAGCAATGGACTTGCAGATTAGAATTGTGTAGGATTTTATGAAATGATTTGTATCTTGTGAACACTTTTGAATCTTTGAAATTTTGAATTTTGAAACATGTGTAGCTTTCAATCTTGTGCATAGAATCAAATGTGGAAATTACTTTGTAAAGAACACTAAATTGTATCTTTGAATTGAATTTTTCCTTCAAGTGTTTATCTCAGTTTCGAGCAATCTCCTGAAGCTTAAAATTCAATAGGGTTAAGATCAAATTAGAGGAAACGCTTGGTATCCATGTAAAATCAATAGTATTTTCCATTAATATGTTTGGATCTTGATGTACTTTTTGTAAAAGCTTCTTCAAAAAACTTTGAAATTATTTGAATAATGACTTGAATGTGAGTTTCAACCTTCGACTTGAATCTTGTGAAAGACATGAATATTGAACTTTGGAAATAAATTGGGATGAACATAACATAAGAATCCCTTTGCTCTTATAACTTGAATTTCTATGCTTTTGAGCTTGTAATAAATATTTCTATTAACTTAAGATGAACTTTCAAATTGTATCTCTTTGAATTCATAACTTGTATACGAAGAAACCACATGAGTAAAGCCTTGAATCCATTATTGACGAGTCATGATATCAAGACTTTGAATCTGATATTCTCAATTTGAATTATGAATATAACATGACTCTTGAAATTAATTTGGATCACAAATTTTGAAATCAATTAACTCGTTTCATGAAAATGTTACCATGACAAACTGTTTCCTTCGAACTTGGACGTTTGGATGGTGACTGCATCATGATCGTGCTATCAAACCAACATTTTGATAATCTTGGAACCAAGAAAACTCTTAACAATGGTCAAACTTCATCGAAGAATAATATTCCCAAGACAATGCCATATTGCCACCAGGCTTGAAACACTATGGTCCAAATCATAATACACTAAATCCCAACAAACTCAAGTTGGAGATCAACGCACCATATCTTCAAGAACAAACTTACAAAGATACCATAACAATCCTCAAATTCCATGCTCAATACCAATGAAAGAAAACCCTAAAGAAGCTTCTGAGAAATCTTAAGGAAAATGACTTTGATCCTTAATAATAATATGCTCAAACCCTAGTTCCATGAAAGAACCAGTTGAGTCAATCTTGGGAGATTCAAACCAGTGAAAAACCCTAGAATCCTTTAATCAGAATGGTTATGCCTTGAAATGCTTGATTGCTAGGAACTATACTGGAAAATACTGCACCTACATAAGCTCGTTAGTCGCAATAAACATGTATAAAAGAATTAAGCACTAGAAATTCTATGCAAGATAATGCGTAAAGAAGTGGGATCTTAGGTTCAAAAATTAGGGTGTGACAGATGCCCCTATTTAAGTTTCTTCTATCCAGAGATATGGAGATTAAAACCTTCGTCTCAACATGATAGGAGAGACTTAAATACAAACATGCGCAAGTTTTTGGCCTTAAGATACCACCAGATGCATATGATATGCAACAATATGAAATACAAAACAAAGATCGTTTGGGGAATGATGTCACAGGGGGATAGCTATATACGAAATGTTGCAATACCGAAAAAGAAGAAACCAACAAGGAACAAACTTGGTGAAGCAAGACTCTACAAAAAGAGATTCAACTCCACTAGGAAAGAGACAAACAACAACCATTGGGGATAGCTTAAACAAATGGTATCTCTAACAAAATAAAGATGTATAGTACTTATTATCAGGAATTTGGTAGTTCAAACAATGGCGCGAGAAACTTGAAATTGAAGGATAACCTACTACCAACTTGTAGTAGCCTAAGCAAAGGCATCCAATTGAAATAAAGACACATATTACCTACTATCAATCATACGATAGCCTAAGCAAAGGTAATATGAAAAGTAAAGATGACCCACTACCAAACTTGGTAGCCTAAGCAAAGTTATTTGTCCATAATGACATGATATATTACCTACTATCAAACGTATGATAGCATAAGAAAAGGTAATAACCAAAATAAGCTTCTATGATCAAAATATAATTTAGCTTCTTCTTTAACTAAACGATTCATTTAAAAATGATAGATAAACCTCCCCACGGTTGTATGCAATGAACGAGTTTCAGTTTCTTCTTTAATCAAGTATTCCACTTGAAAAGGGTAAAATAAACCTCCCCATGCTTCAAGGTTGTATGCCATGAACGAGTCTCAGTTTCCTCTTTAATCAAGTATTCCACTTGAAAATGGTAAAATAAACCTCCCCACGCTTCAAGGTTGTATGCCATGAACGAGTCTCAGTTTCTTCCTGGAATGACAAATACTTATGAGAAAGTATATTCATAGAGGATCGGAGTTCCACTGGAGACTAAAGACTTCAGAGGGAATCCATAACTCATTGGAGATTAGGAGATATCACCGGGGATCTTCGAAAAAGATGCAGACCGGTTGATTTCTAAAACATGTCTTCTCAAATAAAGAGAAGTGTCATCTATAAGAATCTTCACCAAACTTCTCAGAGATGCCATTTTATGGAAGAAAAATGAATAGTGGACTCACTAGGAAGAACATCACTGAGGAGTGATATTGCTATAGTTGAAATTGAATTGGAGCAAATAAAATCCTTGTACCAGAATTTCTTAAATAAAGAGAAACACTTGTAAAGTCTTCAACAAAATTCTAAGACGGATTCCCAGAGAGATGCCATATGATGAGGAGCAAGTTGATAACTTCATTGGGGATAGACAAACTGTCTTGGAAAGAGACTGCCATTTGTCATTCAAATAGGAAATCTGAGATCGAAACAAACTGCTCAAATAAAGAGCTGTCACTTGTTGTCTGGGTAAAAGTTCCAAGAAGATGTCATAACAACACTGTTGGAGAAACATCTTGTCTTCAATGGTGATCTTCACACAGATTCTTCCTGAGAGACAAAGCACGTAATAAATGCATACTTGGCCTAGGTTTAAACAGCCTAGAGAGATTCAAAATTGTCTGTCAAGGACCAAATTCTAATCCAGGAAATAACTGAAGAGAAACAATCAAGCAAGACTTCATCCAGCGAGGACTGAACTCAACTGGGAAATTATGACGGGTGTGCTTTTTCTGCTTAAGGCTGACAACTCTACTTAGGGATAAATACGGCGAAAGTGAACAAATGAACAAACACAAAAATGCAAAACACACATGCCATGTATCTATATGATATGCTTATGCTAACAAAACAAATGGAAAGAATAAGGAACTAAAGATGAAATAAACATCTCAACAAGGATACTCAACCAATCTTCACAGGCGAAAACATCATTGGGGATAGATGAAAACCACTTATGGGACCAAATTCCTGTTTCAAAGCCTTTCAACCTTCTCTAGGGAAGTAGATTATTCCACTTGGGGATATAACATTCTGATTTCACTTGAAGGATTATTGAGATGGGTCTAGTTACTTCATGTGGACAATTTCATGGATAAAATAAATATCTGTTTCACTAGAGAGAACCTTACTAGTGTAAGGGATAAAATAAATATCTACTTTAATGGGGGATCTTGAATCAGAATCAGAGTTGAGACTTCCTGGGGATGAATAAACACCCATGAGGAAAATTGAATCTGTAAGAAAATTCACTAAAGAGTATGGTGACATATGCTTCATTGGGAAGGTTAAAGCCGAAGAAACTCACTGAGGAGCTGAGGGATTCTCACAAAAAATTTTCTTAGAATTTGAAGATGACGTAATCCTGTATCTCGAAGTCTCCCTTTTCTTGCAAATGTCCATTCAGTATTCATATATCAAAGTAATACACACACAAAAAAAAAGATTTAAATTTGTTCAAAGCTGCTATCAAAATAAAAGAATTTATTTGCAAAGATAGAGAAAAAAATAAAGATTGCCTGAAGGCTCAATTTCATTTTATTGAATGGTAATCAGCAAAAGGCATGACTTCACGTATTATTACAAATGTTAGAAAATGATAATAATAATAATAATAGGAACAATTACATCGAAGGAATAATAACCATTATCTTCCTAAGCAAACTTGAAATTTCATATGTTCTAAGCTTCTGACTTTGACTGATGAGTCTTGGATAGTAGTAATCTCAAATCTAAACCATTCTCTCTGTTCTTAAGCGTAATACTTTTTGATTGCATATGTGTTCACCAGACGGGTGATTTCTTCTCCATCCATAGTTGCTAACATCATAGCGCCTCCTAAAAATACTTTCTTGATGATGTATGGACCATCATAGTTCGGAGTCCACTTTCCCCGAGAATCAATGAGGAAAGATTTGATCTTCTTGAGCATGGGATCTAACTCTTTGAATTCACGTTGCCAGACCTTCTTATCGAACACTTTCTTCATCCTCTACTGGTATAGTTGACCGTGCATAAGACTGTCATCCTCTTTTCTTCGATCAAGTTCAACTTGTCATATTTGCTCTGACACCATTCAGTCTCTAAGAGCTTCACTTCCATCAACACTCGCATAGAAGGAATCTCAACTTCTACTAGGAGTACAACTCCCATACTGTAAACAAGAGAAAAAGGGGTTGCCCCTGTTGACGTGCGTACCGAAGTATGATATCCATGTAAAGCAAACAAGAGCATTTCATACCAGTCTTTATACGTGACAACCATCTTCTGAATAATTTTCTTTATATTCTTATTAGCAGCTTTAACAAACTCATTCATCTTTGATCGATAAGGAAAAGAGTTATGATGATAAATCTTGAATTCTTCACATAGCTCCTTCATCATTCTATTGTTCAGATTGGACCCATTATCAGTAATGATTTTTCTTGGCATACCATATCTGCAGATGAGTTGATTCTTGATAAACTAACAACCAAGTGTCTGGTAACATTATCATAGTGTCGCCACCGAACTTTATTTATCCCAAAGAGAGGGAAAGGAAATGATCAAAGACAATCTGAA